ATTCTTAGTTATGCAAGTAAACAAATTTAATTCACACCACTAGTGAGAGCTACTGATGTCTCTTCAGTCATTTTGGTTGTTTAAAGCTTGTTCTTTGGTCTTTTTGTTTTAAGAAATAGTGTTAAAGGCTGGACACAGTGGCTTACACCTGTAATCCCAGGACTTTGGGAGGCCATGGCAGGTGGATCACCCGACGTCAGGAGTTCGAGACCAGCCTGGCCAACATGGCAAAACCCTGTCTCTACTAAAAATACTAAAATTAGCAGGGCACGCTGGTGTGTGCCTGTAATCCCAGCTATGAGGGGGGCTGAAGAAGGAGGAACACTTGAGCCTGGGAGGCAGAGATTGCAGTGAGCTGAGATCGTGCCACTGCACTCCAGCCTGGGCAACAGAGCAAGACTCTATCTCAAAAAAAAAAAAAAAAAGAAAAGAGAAGAAAAAGAAATAGTGTTATAGGTCTATGAATGCTGCAGAGAGGGCTACCCCATAGGCAGTGTGTGGGGAGCATACAAAGCTTCTTCTTTGGCTCCTCGGGAAGGGGATCTTATCAAGAATATTATTCTTTTGTGGTATTGTCGGTGGAAAGGAGAGATGTAACAGCAGTCTCCAACAGAGGGAGCCTTAGTCTCAGGAAAGAAAATTGGATCAGCTATTTTAACTCTCTAGAGAACTTTTGAAACTATAGCTTTTACATTTGTAGCCATGCATCTTTTCAGCGGTTAGAACTAGGCCTTCATTTCCTATAAGGAAATCTACAAAAGCCAGGGTGTTTGAATAGTTCAAAATTTGGCCAGTAGCTTGGTTGGATGAAATCCTGTTAGCCCAGGAAATGGGGCAAAAGCCAAGTCTCCTATCCAAGACCCATTAACACCTGACCTAGTGAGGTGAAGTACAGGGCACCTTGGAACTACTTAGAAGAAACCTTAGAGAGCTGATGGTATAACTAGAGACAGTGATTCAGGTGGTTAAACTGTGTAATAGATGAGATAAATGCCCAATTTTTACTATGAAGGGGTTACTAATAATTTTTTCTGGTTTTAAAAATTGCCATGGGAGGTCAGGCGCGGTGGCTCATGCCTGTAATCCCAGCACTTTGGGAGGCTGAGGTGGGCGGATCAACTGAGGTCAGGCATTCGAGACCAGCCTGACCAACATGGAGAAACCCCGTCTCTACTAAAAGTACAAAATTAGCCGGGCGTGGTGGTGCATGCCTAAAATCTTAGCTACTCAGAAGGCTGAGTCAGGATAATCGTTCGCTCGAACCCGGCAGGCGGAGGTTGCAGTGAGCCGAGATCGCGCATTGCACTCCAGCCTGGGCAACAAGAGCGAAACTCCATCTCAAAAAAATAAAAAATAAAAAAATAAAGGCAGTGAGAAACAGATGATAAATAAGAAACAGAAAATCTTTCTGATCATGTTCTATCTTCCAGATTCTAGTATCCTTTGAGGCCCAAACTATATTTCCTGCCTTTGGCATCTGTTAAATACTCCTATTAATTAGAATTTCCCCTCTTCCCCTTTTTTGTTTAAGGTAACCTGAATAGATACTTCTTGGCAGTCTTAAGCCAATAATAATGCTAAAATAATTGAGCATTCATTATGCATCTGGCACCCTATTAGCATGTTACATATATTTAATGCTCAAAACTATGATTATCCCCATTTTACAAATAAGGGTACTAAGACCCAGAAAGATTAACTTGTGTAAGGCCATACATTTAGGCAGAGCCAGAATTTAACCCAGGCAATACGACTCTAGTACTCATCCTGGTGGTTACCTTCACTTAGGTCCAATGTATGCGTCACCTACAGATTACAGGTTAAACTTGTACTTCAATAGCAGATAATCTCCATCCAAATAAAAGATTTCTTAATGGTTTAGTTTCAGTCATCAGAGAACTTAAGTGAACGGAAAAAAATATCTTAAGGCATATATAAAGGCCTTTAAAGAGCCCTTCCAACTTTGGAAGAAGTAAATCTGGTCCTAGTAAAAGACCATCTGCTGTACCTGAGGTCAAGCAGTTCATCTGAAGAAAGGCTAAAATTCAATACACTGTTATTAGAAGCTTAAAATTGCCTGTTACTACTGATATTACAATTTCCTAGTGAAATCTTTTTTTTTTTTTTTGAGACGGAGTCTCGCTCTGTCGCCCAGGCTGGAGTGCAGTGGTGTGATCTCGGCTCACTGCCAGCTCCACCTCTCGGGTTCACGCCATTCTCCTGCATCAGTCTCCCGTGTAGCTGGGACTACAGGCGGCCCCCACCACGCCCGGCTAATTTTTTGTATTTTTAGTAGAGATGGGGTTTCACCGTGTTAGCCAGGATGGTCTCAATCTCCTAACCTTGTGACCCGCACGCCTCCGCCTCCCAAAGTGCTGGGATTACAGGCGTGAGCCACTGCGCCTGGCCTGAAATCTTAAATGGAAGAATTCACATAGGATCAAGCCAGGATTGTACCTTGGATTTTTTTTTTTTTTTTTTTTTTGAAACGGAGTCTCATTCTGTCGCCAGGCTGGAGCACAGTGGCGCAGTCTCGGTTCACTGCAACCTCTGCCCCCCGGGTTCAAGCGATTCTCCTGCCTCAGCCTCCCAAGTAGCTGGAACTACAGGCGCGCGCCACTACGCCCAGTTAATGTTTGTATTTTTAGTAGAGACGGGGGTTTCACCACGTTGGCCAGGATTGTCTCGATCTCTTGACCTCGTGATCCTCCTGTCTCAGCCTCCCAAAGTGCTGGAATTACAAGCGAGAGTCACTGCGCCTGGCCCCCCTTTTTTTTTTGTTTTGAGATGGAGTCTAACTGTCGCGCGGAATGGGGTGCAGTGGCGGGATCTCGGCTCATTGCAACCTCCACCTCCCGGGTTCAAGCGATTCCCTTGCCTCAGCCTCCCCAGTAGCTGGGACTACAGGCAAGTGTCACCATGCCCCGCTAATTTTTGTATTTTTAGTAGAAACGGGGTTTCGCCGTGTTGGTCAGGCTGGTCTCAAACTTCTTACCTCAACTGATCTGCTTGCCTCAGCCTCCGAAAGTGCTAGGATTACACGCGTGAGCCACTGTGCCCAGAGTGTACCTTGGATTTTAAATATCAGAGAGACAAATAATCTAAAACAATCACCTTTCTCTCTAGAACAATGGGTTAGAGGATCCAGACACAAATATGTTAGGGAATACATTAAAAGTGGCATTTCAAATCAGTAGGGGAAAAGAAAACTTATTAATAAATGATGCCAAGGCAACTAGTTAAGGCAACTGAAGCATAACCTTGTCCACATTCACTAAAATTACAGAAGGAACAAAAATTTAAATCTTTTTTTTTTTTTTTTTTTTTTTTTTTTTTTTTTGAACGGATTCCTCTGTCCCCAGCTGGAGTGCATGCGCGATCTTGGCTCACTGCAAGCTCCACCTCCCGGTTCGCGCCATCTCCTGCCTCAGCCTCCCGAGTAGCTGGGACTACAGGCCCCCCGCCCCAGCAATTTTTTTTTTAGTAGAACGGGTTTCACCGTGTCTCGATCTCCTGACCTTTATCCGCCCCTCCCTCCCAAAGTGTATTACAGGCGTGACACCGCCCCCAACAAAATTTAAATCTAAAAACTGAAGCGAGGGGTTGATTATTTTTAAAATATTGGAATTTACAAAAAGCCATTCAAAGCATAAGATCCAGAGCATAGAAAAAATGAGTAATACATCTGACTACTACATAAGTACTAAAAACATGTCCATGGCAAAAAAACAAAAAACAAAACAAAAACACACAACCCACAGAAAAACAAAAACAAAACAGAAAAACCACCACAAAACGAAAGTAAGTGACAAACTGGAGGGAATGTTTGCAACATATTTGACAAAGGACTAATTTCCTTAATATATGGAGTTCAAACAGATTAATGAACATGATTAACAGGCTGGGTGCAGTGGCTCAAGCCTGTAATCCCAGCATTTTGGGAAGCTGAGGTGGGCAGATGGCTTGAGCCCAGAAGTTCAAGACCAGCTTGGGCAACATGGCAAAATCCCTTCTACAAAAAAATGTTAAAATCAGCTGGGTGTGGTGGTGCGTCCCTGTAGTTCCAGTTATTTGGGAGGCTGAGGTGGGAAGATTGCTTGGACGTGAGAGGCAGAAGTTACAATGAACCAAGATGATGCCACTGCACTCCAGCCTGGGTGACAGAGGGAGGCCTGGTTTCAAATAAAAAGGAAAAAAAAGTCAACAGCCCAATAGTAAGTGGCAAAAAACATTAAAGGCCATTATCAGGGGAAAAAAAGTAAAAAGGGTTTATACACACATAAAAACACCCTAATTAAAGAAATGCAAATTTAAAACAATGATATACCATGTTGAGTGGGTGTGGTGGTTGGTGCCTGTAATCTCAACACTTTGGGAGGTCAAAGGAGAAGAATCACTTGAGGCCATGAGTTCAAGAGAAGACAAACAACATAGTAAGAACCTATCTCTTAATTTTTTTTTTTTTTTTTATAATTAGCTGGGCATGGTAGCTCATGCCTATACTCCCAACTACTTGGGAGGCTGAGGTGGGAGGATTGCTTGAGCTCAGGATATTGATGGCACCACTGCACTCCAGAGCTTAGGTGACAGGGAGACCCTGTCTCAAAACAAAAACAAAAAATAAAATTATACACCTTGTTCAACCTACAGCTTAACAAGCAATATGATGTAATGGTTAAAACTGCTGGCTCTAGAGTCAGAATACTTGGGATTAAATCCTGGCTCTACTCCTCACTGTGTATTCTCCAGTTTCCTTGGTTGGGTTGAGAACTAAATGAGAAAATGTAATAAAGCAATTAGAACTGTTCCTGGCATGTACATAGTAACTGCTCAGTTAACATTAGTTCTACTAGTTCAATCAATTAGTTCTATTAGTTCAATTCTATTAGTTCAATTAAAATTAGTTTAGACTGAAAAAAAAAACAGAAAAAACGATAATGATGTTGAAAAGAAAGGAGAGAACTAGGCACTCACACGCCATCATACACCATTGGTAGAAGTACAAACTGGTGCAATGTATTTCAATGGTAATTTGACATTATCTACTTATTTTAAACGCACAAACCCGTTTGACTTTGCAATGTACTTTAAAAAATTTATCCTACAGATCACATATGTACATAAAAATACATACATAAATGTTCATAAAGATACACAGGGATTTTTCATTACAGCAATGTCCTTAATAGCAAAAGACTATAAATAACCAAAATGGTCATCCATATGGGTCTGAATAAACTATGGTGCATCCCAAAATGGAATACTATATTATGATAAAAACATAATCCCCAAGATAGTCAAAAAAGCAAATCAAAAAGCAATGTGGACAGCTCTCTCATTACTGTTTGTATGCATAGGATATTTCTGGAAGGAGACACAAGAAATGAATAACAGTAGTTGCCCTGAGGAGCAAGACTGAGAGTTGAAATCAAATGGAGATTTGCTTTTCACTGACCTTCCTGTAAACATGAAACTTTTTTCCATGTACATTACTTTTGCAGTTGAACAAAAACTAGTTAACTTTTAAAAATGAGTATAGTCATCATTTATCATTACATCCCTATCAGAAAAGCAGAAGGAGGCATACCAACTGAAAATTCTAAGAGAAATAATGCTAGCCTATCACTGCAGCTTAAAGGGCCAAAATGGATGTCCTAAAGCAAAGATAGTCTTTGGTCCTTAAAGAACTCTTCTGTCTTCCACTCCTCTAGACAGTGATAAGAACCACAGGGACTAAGCACATGAGTTATCTTTCGAGATCTCACATTATCCAGGTATTAACTCCAGAGCCTCTAAAACAAGAGCTGTTCTTCCCTCCATCTGCAGAAGCATAAGAGTGCACTTATACTTGGTGTGTTGGTTTAAGATGAGGATTTTGGGGGAAGAATGAAGAGAAGGGACTGATGGACACATTTTGTGTTTTTTTTTTTTTTTTTTTTTTTTTTTTTTTTTGAGATGGAGTCTCGCACTGTCACCCAGGCTGGAGTGCAGTGGCGCGATCTCTGCTCATTGCAACCTCCGCCTCCTGGGTTCAAGCAATTCTCCTGCCTCAGCCTCCCAAGTAGCTGGGATTAGAGGTATGTGCCACCGTACCTGCCTAATTTTTGTATTTTTAGTAGAGACAGGGTTTCTCCATGTTGGCCAGGCTGGTCTCGAACTCCTGATCTAGTGATCCACCTCCCAAAGTGCTGGGATTGTAGGCATGAGCCACCATGTCCGGCCTGGATCTACTGTATAATGCTCTCCTGGTCCTAATGATATCTTTGGGCAACTTATTTCTTTGTTTTTCCCTTTCATCTTGACACCTTATATATAAATTCACTTTACAATTCACAAAGCACAGTTCTGCTTACTCATTAATTCTCCTAGCCACCTCATAGACTGGTATTACAATACCATTTTAGATGAGTTTCAGAGGGGTTTCCTTGTCCCACAAATATTAGTCTCATGTCCTGGCACCCCCCGTTGAAGTCTCCAAACCTGATGTTTTCTACTCTGTGACTTTCTCTCTTCATTCCTGCTCAATCTCCCTGCACCAGCACCCGATTCCATTTTATTCCAGTCAACACAAAACACCTGTGTTCTTATGTGCTGTGATTCTAAGACAGTGACAGAGGAAATTATTTAAGGACCAAGGACAGGATATGTTTTTCCTTCTGGGGACAGATTTGAGCTAGTTGCTTTTTAAATATTGTTCCTTTGTTATTCTGCCTGATAAAGTAGAGGGCCTTATAAACAGGATCTCACCAGTATTGAATACCTACTATGCTATGATGTTGTCAAGACACTTTATTCATTTTATCTCACTTACCCTGTAAAAGCAGGCTCTATAATCTCCACAATACAAATGAGTTGATAGAAATTTAGTGAAGACAAGTCAGTTGTTTACTGTCATATAGCTCCTATGTTCCCATGTTGAATAAGGATTCAAACTCCAGTATCTGGCTCTGCATCCTGTGGTACATTACACCATGTTGTCCAACAAACATAGCTCTCAGGGTTACATCGTTTGTTAAAGTGGTTAAAAACCCCAATCAAAGGCCACGTGGAAGTTCTTAAGCAGGGGTAGGTTATGCCAGAAAAAGAGTAGCTACTATTCAGCTAATTTTCTCATATTTACCCAGTCTTTCCCGTCTCTAAAATAAAAATGAATCTAAGTTCCAGAGAAAACAAATGGGGGCAGTGTGAACCAAGGAAATGAATAATAATAAGCAGAAGGGAAAGGCAGCCTCTGCTGATTGGGAGGTAGTCCCAGGAGGTCCGCCTTCTGCAGTTGCCAAGCAACGAGTGTAAACAGCACAAGATCATGGCCACTAACTACAGTGCCAACCAGGTAAGTTCCCATTCTCCATTTCTTTAAAGTTTACTTTTGTTTTTCAGATTCTATCTTTGGACTGTCCCCTCTCATAGGATTCTGATCTTTGAACAGATAGCTGAGAGTGGAGTGAGAAAATATTTTACCTCCTCAGAGATAGAGCCCAGGGGCGATCCAAAGGTATCTCTGGGTTAAATTTGTAGGGTGTAAACCAGAAGTTGGCAATTTTTTTTTTCTGTAAAAGTGCAGAGCATAAAAATTTTAGGCTTAGGCCAAGTGGCAAAGTCAAAAATATTCTATAGCTACTTACATAATTAAAGAAAAACATTTTTCCATAAAATTTTTGACAAATTCAAAATATAACTGAGTACAATTTTTTGTACTACTAATGAAAATAATGGAATTTTGGGGGTTGAGAAAACATTTCACTTAACTGGGATTCAAAGTTAGTGTTCCATTTTACTGAATCAATTGTAAATGTTCATCTATAAAAATCGTCCTTACTCTCAGGCCATCCCCAAACAGGCAGCAATATGGATATGGCCCATAGGCCATAGTTCACCAACTCCTGATCTAGACCAGTGCTGCCCAACAAGAAGAGTGCGAGCCACAAATGTAATTTTAAATTTTCTAGTAGCTACATGAAAAACTTAAAACATAAAATTTAAATATATTGAATTTAACCCGATAAATCCAAATATTATTTCAACATTTAATCAGTATTTTAAAAATTATAATCAGACATTTTACATTCTTTTTTTGTACTAAATCTTCAAAACCTGCTGGATGTTGTAGTTTGCGTCCATAATCCCAACACTTTGGGAGACTGAGGCAGAAGGATCACTTGAGGCCAGAAGTTTGAGACCACCCTGGGCAATATGGTGAAACCTCATCTCTACAAGTAAATTAAAAAATTAGCTGGGCATGGTGACATGCACCTGTAGTCCCAGCTACTTGTGAGTCTGAGGGAGGAGGATCGCTTGAACCCAGGTGTCCAAGGCTGCAGTGAGCTAGGGTCGTGCCACTGACGCCAACCCAGGTGGCAGACCAAGATCCTGTCTCAAAAAAAAAAAAAAGAAAAAGAAAGAAAGAAAAAGACAAAACTTCAAAATTCAGCATATTTCATACTTATAAAGCACCTCAATTTGAACTAGTCATATTTCAGGTGTTCAACAGCTCCATGTGACTACTGGCTCCATGCTGAACAGCATACATCTAGACCAAACAGATTACACCCTTGTCATAGTGACTTAAAGCCTACATGGTTGGTCAGGCCTTTGGTCTTCAAATCTAAAGAATTGTGCCTAGTCATCATTTCCTGGGTTTGGGGCCTTGAAGTCTCACAGGGATACTTATCTTTCTCTCCACAGTATGAAAAGGCTTTCTCATCCAAGTATCTGCAGAACTGGTCTCCGGCTAAGCCAACAAAAGAGGTATTCCATGTTCAGTGCACCTACAAGATAGCCTCATGCTCTCCCTGTCAATTAACTCCTTTTAGCCTTCTCTAAACTCCCATATCCTTCTCTGACCAAGCTCCCCAAATACTCCTTTTTTTCCCCACTCAGAAACATTTATCTCTCCCACTTGTACCCCAGAGCATCTCTTCTCATGAAGGCTACACTCAAATTATTGCCAATGATCGTGGTCATCTACTGCCTTCTGTGCCCCGTTCCAAGGTGAGATACTATCTTCATTCCTATCAAGAAAGGCAAATAATTGAGGCACAGAACTGGGAGATGTGCAGTCTCTCACAGCCATTATCAGGAAAATTAAAGTTTAATCTAATTCATGTTGTAATGTAAGAGCCCTTGAACTTCCGGCCAGCTTACCCAACAGGATAGAGTTGTGTTTAGCACCTTTCAGAAGTTCTTAAATTGATCAATGATCTGTATAAAAGAAAGCCTTCAGGTGATGACATTTGTGCAGTGGGTACTCCTTTGCCACACTCAGCCTAAGGATGCGGAATTTAAGTTGGCAGAGTAAAGGGGATGAAAAAATTAGGCCTGCAAAGCCTAAATGAGGGAGGGGGATAAGGAAGGGTGGGAAGATTATGCTTTCAGTCTTATTTCATAACCATGCATTCCTAAAGAATGGAAATAAGACTAACAGAGGTCTAAGTCAGTTACCAGGAGTGAGAAGCCCTATTGAGGAATTCCTTTTCATTTTCAGGCAAATCCTTGGGGTTGCTTCATGGGCACCTGGCAAATGCCTCTGAAGATACCCCCTGCTCGGGTGACCCTGACCTCCCGTACAACTGCTGGTGCTGCCTCCCTCACCAAATGGATACAGAAAAATTCTGATTTACTCAAGGCCTCCAATGGGCTGCGTCCTGAAATCTTAGGCAAGGTATCTATTCTTCCCATCTAATCCAAAACCCTGTTGTCTCAATTTCTTTTCAACTTCAAAAAACGTCTGCTGTTATGCCACCACTAACCCAACAGGGGGGACCTCTAACCAATTCGTCTTATCCTGACTAGTCCCTAATCACCTTCTGAGGCCTGAAGGGATGGGCTAAGGACATCTCACCCCCAACAGTAGAAAATGATCTAATCTCAAGGTGGGGGAGGGTGGTTAGAGAAATCAAATTTAACTTTCCTTATTTGAAACTTGATCTACTGCCCATGGTATGGGGAGAAAGGGAGTTAGAATCCTGAGGTGCACTGGGAATGATCCGGGCCCGACCAGAGACATGACTGTCTCTTCCACTCTATCACTGACAGCCCCATGATCCAGACAGTCAGAAGAAACTCAGGAAGAAGTCTATCACAAAGACTGTACAACAAGCACTAAGTCCAACCATAATTCCAAGCTCCCCAGCTGCCAACCTCAATTCCCCAGATGATCTCCGAAGCTCACACCCCTCTGCAGGTCATACTCCAGGTCCCCAAAGCCCAGCCAAATCCTAAGAGCCCACCTGGAAGTCCACGTATGCTAGAACTCTGGGCAGGGCCTAATCTAGCTGAGGTCCAGAAATACAAACCTGGAATTTCATATGGACCAAGTGGCCACATACTGAAAAACCTGTATAGCGACCGAGTGAAATAAACAAGAGCCCCCAGTCAGAACTGTGAAACAGGGAAATTTTGGGGTGGGAGTAAAAACAAATTTGGAAAATAAACTTTTTTTGTTGAATCTTTTACGAATCTGGATTTTCCACTCTTGCTATGGCTGCCTCTTGTAACCCAATTAGGAGAAGGAAGGTGGGGGAAAATAAAGCAGGGAAAAGAACATACAGTGGTTTGGGTGGAACACATTTTTACAAGAATTGAGTCAGTTATACTCCAGAAATGACCAAGAGAAGGTTGGTCTGAATCATGGAAAAAGGGTAGAACCTCAAAGAACCAGTCCCTCAACCCTATCCACTTATTTTTTATCCTAAGCATGCACAACTAACAACTACAAAATCAGAAGTAGAATTGTTGAGTAGAGTATGTATATGTGTGTTTGGAGAAGGTGGGGAAGAAAAGGTAGGGAAAACCAAAGTAGAAGATACTATGCTTTTGTAAGACTTCCTATCTAAGCCCAAGTACAAATATAGTTTGAAAATTGAAGATATTAAAGTGATTGGAAGACAGACAAAGAAAGATGGTAAGTAGAAATTTAAGGCAGAATAACAAACATGACGCTGTCACACCCCACCCACCCACTACCATGCTTCAATCACCCAAATGGTAGGAAACCACCAAAAAATTCAACTGCCCTACCCATTTTCCAGCCTGTAACATCTGTTTATCATTGACCCCATTTTACATTTTCCTGGCACTGGCTGTTAAATTCAATGCCCTTGCCAAACCTTTCCCCATACCAATGACAAAGTGTTCTCTCATGATCACTTGTCCCTCATTCCAAGGACAAAGTAGAGAACAGCTGGTTTAAAATGGAGGAAAGGTACAAGGACTTCCCAGGACCCCTCTAGTAAAAAGGGAAAAGCAATCATTACTTAAAGCCAAATACTATTTGGGACCCTGAATGAAGACTGTTAAAAGAGCAGGTCCCCACCTTAACTATGGTCTTCCTATCCAATTGACACCAGCCAGTTACCATTTCCCCTCTTCGACCCATGGCTTTAACTGGCTGGCCAGCAACTCAAAGTGACAGACGAGATAGGTCTCTTATTCCAGAGTTCCCAAAAACTATCAAAACAGCATGCCTGGTAAAGCCTGGCCTATCTGCATTTTTAAAAGCATCAAGTTTTCTCATTAAATTATACATTTTTGCCAGGTTTTCAACAATCCCTTCTTTTTAAAAAAAATCTCTATTCTTCATCTACCCTAAGCCTATAACTTCAGGTCATCATCCCTTAGCTGTCACCAACACTGGTCCTCTGCGCCCCTCACTGAATCATAATTTGCTGAACTGTCCCATGAAGCTTATAATCAGTCCTTAATGGGATTGTGGTGCCTATAACCCAAAAGCACTCTACATGCATCACTTCTTTTCTTTTCCTCCTTCCTTCTCTGAGGCTTCTCTGTGATATTTAAATATCTGGCTAACTTCTATCTGATTCCCTGAAAACCCCTCCAATGATGAGATGTAGGAAAACTGTTTCCCTCCTGGGAAAGGTCAGATTGCAGGGAGAGGGAGGATGTAAATGCCTGAGACCCGAGGGAAGAGGAGGAAATTGGTTCCTTCCCAACAGCCATTTTCTTGGTTTCTCTAGATTTCAAGGAGAGTCAAAGATAAAATAAGTATTTTAATTCAGTTTCAGAAAAAAAGGGTACATGACTTTGATGAGAAAGCATAAAACTAAGAGGCTTTTCTGGAAATCCAAGAAAAAGAAAAAGAAATAACCATTAATATGTTCAATAATTTTCTGGATCTTCTTGTGTCAAAAGCTATATATTTTCTCCTCAAAAGCAGCTGCTCCAAGAACTAACTAGCCCTCTTTATCTCCCTCTAACTGGGACAGACTAATTCCCCTCCACCCCCACCTCTCTTCTTTCAATAACACTGCGTAGGTGTTAATGGCCTGGGCTCTCACCAATGAACAGAATTGTCCTTTAAGCCAGCAACCCACAGGCAGTGGCACCCAAAGCCTCACCCCCAGTCCCCAGGGCAGAAGCCACAGAGCTGGCATTGTTTCCACTGTCTCAGGAAGAAGGAGCCAAAAGCTGACCCTCAGCACAAATCAAAGCCCAATATGCAGACAGAATAACTGCTTCTAGAGTTGGCAAGCTGTGGGCAAAAAAGGGGAGTTTTTGCAGCCACCCCATCTTTAGAAACAAGGGGAAAACTAGACCCTTTTCCACTATTATGGTCTACAAGGTACTCTACTGCTCCAACGGGATCTGAAAGTACAAAAGGACCTAAACAAATAAGGAGAACTTTTCCCAGGCTGGAGATAAGAATGAAAAACAGAAAGATGGATGAATGTAATAAGGTGTAGGAAGATGATGCTGGGAACCTCCGTTCTTCACATGGCTGCCAGCCCCATAGAGGACAACACAGTAAGAACCAGGACAACCACTCCAGACTGGTATAGCTGGGGAATCTTCAGGCCTTTTCCTAGGTCCCACATCTGTGGACAAAGCAAAAAAGAAAAAAGGAATTTCAGTAAACAGGACATTAACAGTTCCTGTCTCAGAAAGTAATTCCACCTAAAGGAATGGACACCTTCTCTCAGCATGATTCTAGAGAAAAGCGCTTCTATCCTTATGCCCCATCTTTACCCTTCTCAAAACCCACAGTATGGAACCTATTTTCCACTTATTCCAATGACAGAAAATCAGGTTCTATTGTGTGGTGATGGTAGGAGTAATGTTCAATGTTCTCTAGAATGCCACAGGCCCCATACCGTATACAAAAGCTTCCAGAATGAATAGATACAACTTTTCCTCAGGACCACACATCTAGATTAATGTTTCTCAGTGTATTCTTCCGAACACTTGTTCCTCAGAATGTTGAAAGCCATTATATGGGCCAAAAAAAAGTTCTGTGGTCATACAAAGTTCGTAAACATTTAACTGCAAGGCTTTCTAAACAGTTGTTTTGTTTGTTTGTTTGTTTGTTTGAGACGGACTCTCGCTCTGTCGCCCAGGCTGGAGTGCAGTCATGCGATCTCGGCTCACTGCAAGCTCCGCCTCCTGGGTTTCCGCCATTCTCCCACCTCAGCCTCCTGAGTAGCTGGGACTAGAGGCGCCTGCCACCACGCCCAGCTAATTTTGTTTTTGTATTTAATTTATTTATTTATTTATTTATTTATTTATTTATTTATTTATTTGAGATGGAGTCTTGCTCTGTCGCCCAGGCTGGAGTGCAGTGGCAGGATCTCGGCTCACTGCAAGCTCCACCTCCCAGGTTCACGCCATTCTCCTGCCTCAGCCTCCCGAGTAGCTGGGACTACAGGCGCGTGCCACCACGCCTGGCTAATTTTTTGTATTTTTAGTAGAGACGGGGTTTCACCGTGTTAGCCAGGATGGTCTCGATCTCCTTACTTCATGATCCGCCTGCTTCGGCCTCGCAAAGTGCTGGGATTACAGGCGTGAGCCACTGCGACCGGCCTGTTTTTGTATTTTAAGTAGAGATCGGGTTTCACCGTGTTAGCCAGGATGGTCTGGATCTCCTGACCTCGTGATCCACCCGCCTCAGCCTCCCAGAATGCTGGGATTACAGGCATGAGCCACTGCTCCTGGCCTCTAAACAATTCACTAATGTACACTGTGAATCTCCAAAAGACAGATATAGTATGCATGATTTCCTAGATACAGTCAATCTCAGAATCTTTTTATAGAGGGAAACTGTTTATCAGAGGACTAGTATTCTAAAGTATACTCTGAGATCTAGAACACTATTTCTCAATTTTGTTTTGACTGTGACCCCACTAAGAAATACCTTTAAAATTGGAGCCCAGTAGATATGTATATACAATATAGCAAAAGCTGATAAAACAATATTTACCATTACTGAGTGGTACCATATATATACAAATACATATATATTTATATATAAATAAATTTCATTTAAAAAATACATTTTTTTTTCCTTTTTGTGGAGAAAGGGGTCTCATTTTATTGTTCAGGCAGGTCTTGAACTCCTGGGCTCAAGCTGTTCTCCCGCCTCTGCTTCCCTAAGAGCTGGCATTACGGGTGTGAACTTCTGCACCCAGCTTCTCCAATGGCACCATCTTGACTCACAGCAACGTCAGCCTCCCAGGTTCACTGCCTCAGTCCCGCCAGTGGCTGGGACTACAGGCACATGCCACCATGCCCAGCTAATTTTTGTATTTTTAGTAGAGATGGGTTTTCACCACGTTGGCCAGGCTGGTCTCGAACTCTTGACCTCAAGTGATACACCCTCCTCAGCCTCCCAAAGTGCTGGGATTATAGGTGTGAGCCACCGCGCCCAGCCCCTGCTTATATTTTCTATTCTATTTAAATTTCTTTTTTTGTTGGTAGCATGCCACTAAATTGGTTTTCTACCAATTGAGTTAAAACCCACATTTCTTTTTAATATTAAAAAATAGAGACAGACTCTTGTTATGTCTCACCCAGGCTGGTATTAAACTCCTGGGCTCAAGCAATCCTCCCGCCTCAGCCTCCCAAAGTGCTGGGATTACAGGTGTGAGCTATCTCACCCAGCCCCCACTGCACAACCCCCCACCTTTTAAAAAAGTTTTGAGACAGGGTCTCACTTTGTCACACAGGCTGGAGTACAGTGGCACAATCTCAGCTCACTAAGGCCTTGACCTCCCAGGTTCAAGCAATCCTCCTGCCTCGGCCCCCCAAGTAGCTGGGACTACAGGCACCCGTCACCATGCCTGGCTAATTTTTTGTATTTTTGGTAGAGATGGAGTTTTGCCATGTTGCCCAGGCTAGTTTCGAACTCCTGAGCTCAAGCAATCCACCTACCTCGGCCTCCCAAAGTGCTAGGATTACATGCGTGAGCTACCACGCCCCCGGCCCCACATTTAACAAAACACTAATTTTGACTCTCTTATGTCTTAGGGATATTAACATATTAATATTATAAGTCACTAAATGAGCCCCTAGGGCAAATGTAGTCTTCATTTTCCACACTTCCCACATACATGGCACCTTAACACACACATACACACATACGCCTACAGTCTGAATGTACAACTGCCTAAATTAGGAGTCAGTTCAGGGAAAAGATGGAGAGAGCCCAGGGAAAAAAAAAAAAATCAAGATGAGAAGATGCCTTCACCTCAACCCTCAAATAGCTTCTAAGTAGGAGATCAAGAGTCAAGCAGATTCCACAAAGAGTTGTTTTACTTAAATAAGGACAGTGTTTCTATTATACAGTTGAGTCCTACTGGGTAGTGGTAGTAGGCAGGGATATTCCGTAGAATGCCACAGACCCTATAACCTCCTACTCTTTCACTCCTCACTCCCCCATTAGATCTTCTGGCAAGTCAACGATCAAGTTCAGAGGCCAAAAACTACAGACTGTCACAGAAAACACAAAATCCTGACCCACACTCACAGCCAGTACTTGCTAGAAGAAAAAATAAAAGCAGACTTAAGGATCTTTAGGTTCTTCACTTCCCTCAACAAAAAGATTACCATCACAGGCAAGAACCAGGGCAGAAAAGCTCTAAGTTCTGCGATTTTGTAAAACCTCCCCTCTCTTCCCCCCATATTGAGACAAAGACAAATATAGGGCAAGTCTCTGCCTGAGCCAAAATATGAACAGAGGAAGCTGATCAGCTGATTTTCTTTACAGAGCTTTGTTCTGTGGAATAGGAAGTCATTAATGGAAATGTCCTCCCTCTCTACCGCCTCCCCCTCAGGGAAGTGAAAAGCCATTTTAAATCAAACTGAACACTGCCCCAGGGAACCGTTGATACAGACACTTAATTTAGTAAGTCATTTAGTCTCTCATTCCATTAAGCTTGCTATTGGACCAGACTGAAATCCAGAAAGTGCTTGTCTCTAATGCTATGATTTGGAAGTAATAAAAAGTCAAATTAAGGCAAAAGCATCCATCTGACAGTTGGTTCAGGTTCAGAATTAATGAAAATACAGAAATAACTGAATTTTAATTGTCTTTTTGGAAGCAAAACTAGGGAGACTACAAAATATAAAATCCCTCTTTCTTTTTTGTTTTGGGACAGAGTTTTACTTTGGTCACCCAGGCTGGAGTGCATGGCATGATCTTGGCTCACAGAAATCTCTGCTGCCTGGATTCTCCTGCCTCAGCCTCCCAAGTAGCTGGGATTACAGGCACACACTACCACCTCTGGCTAATTTTTGTATTATATTTTATTTTATTTTATTTTTTGAGACAGAATTTTGCTCTTGCTGCCCAGTCTGGATGGAGTGCAATGGCGTGATCTCAGCTCACTGCAACCTCTGCCTCCCAGGTTCAAGCGATTCTTCTGCCTCAGCCTCCCAAGTAGCTGGGATTACAGGCATGCACCACCATGCCCAGCTAATTTTGTTTTTTTAGTAGAGATGGGGTTTCTCCATGTTGGTCAGGCTGGTCTTGAGCTCCCGACCTCAGATGATCCGCCCACCTCGGCCTCTCAAAGTGCTGGGATTACAGGCATGAACCACCACGCCCGCCTATGTTTTTTTTTTAGATGGGGTCACTCTGTCACCCAGGCTGAAGTGCAGTGGCACAATCTCAGCTCACTGCAACCTCCGCCTCCCGGGCTCAATCGATCCTCCTACCTCAGCCTTACGGGTAGCTGGGACCACAAGTGCACACCACCATAGCTGGCTAATTGTAGAAACCAGTTTTGAGCAGACCATGAGATCACACAGGAGGCAACATGGACAGTTTTCACTCTATTAAATGATTCCTGCCATGTGCGGTGGCTCGCACCTGTAATCCCAGCACTTCGGGAAGCCAAGAGTTCAAGACCAGGCTGGCCAACATGGCGAAACCCCATCTCTACTAAAAATACAAAAAAAAAAAAAAATTAGCTGGGTGTGGTGGCGGGCACCTGTAAGGCTGGCCAACACGGCAAAATAAGGTCTCTACTGAGATTGCACCATTGCACTCCAGCCTGGGCAACAGAGCAAGACTTTGTCTCAAAAAAAAAAAAAAAGAAGATTCCTAAACTCAATATTAAAACCTGGGATTCTTGGCACCCAGTTTCTATTAAAGTTGGCCCCATTCTGTCCAACAGCTCAAAACAAAAATGCAATATAATGTGTAGATAAGAAAAGGTAAGTCTATTTGAGTCCCATCAGAAGCATTACTCTGGGTCAACAGGAACATAAGAATGAAAGCAGCAACAATGTTTATCTAGCTCATAACTGAATCCCCCGTGTCTACAACAGTACCTGACACATAAATAGGTACCAATTAATATTTATCTCATAAACATGCATTCTATGCCTTCAGGGATCTCTTTTAATAATATACCTCTCAAAAATGAAGAGTTCAGCAGGACACAGTGGCTCACGTCTATAATCCCAGCACTTTGGGAAGCTGAGAGGGGTGGATCACAAGGTCAGGAGTTTGAGACCAGCCTGGCTAACATGGGGAAACTCCGTCTCTACTAAAAATACAAAAAATTAGCCAGGCGTGGTGGCATGCGCCTGTAGTCCCAGCTGCTCAGGAGGTCGAGGGAGGAGAATCTCTTGAACCCAAGAGGTGGAGTTTGTAGTGACCCAAGATCACACCAACTGCACTCCAGCCTGGGAGACAGAGCAAGACTTTGTCTCAAAAAATAACATAACGTAACGTAACGTAACGTAACGTAACGTAACGTAACGTAACGTAACATAACATAACATAACATAACATAACATAACATAACATAAGGAAGAGTTCACAATGAGACCCTGCAAGTATCTGTGAGGCCTATACCATTGCTCAGCTACACCACCAGCAGGACTGCTAGAAAATACACAGGGGAACTTGTTTGGCTTTCCCCAAGAGGGCTTTGAGTCACAACTAATCTTAAGAACAGCACTAGTTGGGCGTGGTAGCTCACGCCTGTAATCCTAGCACTTCGGGAGGCTGAGGCAGGTGGATCACCTGAGGCTGAGGCAGGTGGATCACCTACGGCCAGGAGTTTGAGACCAGCCTGGCCAACATGGTGAAACCCCATCTCTACTAAAACTACAAAAATTAACCAGGAGTGGTGGCACACGTCTATAACGCCAACTACTTAAGAGGCTGAGGCACGAGAATCTCTTGAACCCAGGAGGCAGAAGTTGCAGTGAGCTGAGATCGCACCACTGCATTCCAGCCTGCGCAACAGAGCGAGACTCCAATCTTGGGCACAACAACAACAAAAAAGAACAGCACTAAACCCAGTAATAAAGGAGAGAATCCTCCCAGTCTCCCCACTCCCTTCACAGAGAAAATGTGCAAATCCCCAATTAACTTACCAAGTGTCGGATCCCATTCCAGGTATGATACATGAGAGGGAAGACGAGTGCAAACTTAGCTGTGTGGATCAGTGCTGGCCCCAGACACAGGGACTTCACGAGTTCCAAATAAGACTCAAAGTTCCCAGGGAGTAACAGGGCCGACATGCCAAAAAGAGAGACCCCTGAGGAGAAAACCAAGTAGCTCGTCACAGCTGCTCACAAGTTACAACTAATATGACACATAAAACTGGGACCCCTGGCACCTCATACAATTCTAAACCATTTTGAAATGGAGAAGATTTTTGTTTTGTTTTTTTCTTGAGACAAGAGTCTCATTCTGTCACCCAGGCTGGAGTGCAGTGGTGCAATCTTGGCTCACTGCAACCTCCACCTCCCAAGTTCAAGCAATTCTCCTGCTTCAGCCTCCTGAGTAGCAGGGATGACAGGCGCCCACCACAACACCCAGCTAATTTTTGTATCTTTATATACGGGGTTTCACCAAGTTGGCCAGGCTGGTCTCGAACTCCTGACCTCAAGTGATCTGCCCACCTTCGCCTCCCAAAGTGCTGAGATTACAGGTATGAGCCACTGCACCTGGCCTTGAAAAGGAGATTTAAACTCATGTTCAAGTTTATAGTGGGAGACAGACTACCTGGGATCTGATCATAAACTAAATGTGCCATATGTTTTAGTACATTATTCCTCCTTTCAACATCCCTCTCATTAAAAACTTCACCTGCCAGTTCAGAACTCATGCCTTGCTATATCATCTAGTTCATCATCTAAGTAAAAAAAGGTAAAAACAGTGTACTCAGTTCAGAGAAGAGTGAGAAAAAAAATTAGGTTCTCTTTTTTTTTTTTGAGACAGAGTCTCGCTCTCTTGCCCAGGCTAGAGTACAGTGGCGTGATCTCGGCTCACTGCAACCTCTGCCTCCTGGGTTCAAGCGATTCTTGTGCCTCAGCCTCCCAAGTAGCTGGCCTTAGAGATGCATGCCACCACACCTCGCTAATTTTTGTATTTAGTAGAGACAGGGTTTTGCCATGTTGTCTAGGCTGGTTCGTACTCCTGGCCTCAAGTGATTCGCTCACCTTGGCCTCCCAAAGTGCTGGGATTAGCAGCATGAGCCACTGTGCCTGGCCCATTTTTTATCTTTATTTTCTAGTGTTGCTACCTCTGAAGAGAGAAAAAATTTAAAATCATTCAAATCTCTATTACACAAAAATTTAAATTAAAATGAATTAGAGACCTAAATGCTAGAGCTAAACTGTAAAACTCTCGGTAGAAAGCACAGAAATAAATCTTCATGATCTTGGATTAGGCAGTGGTTTCACAGATGACACCAAAATCATAAATGACAAAAGAAAAAACAGATGAATTGGATTTCATCAAAATTACTAACTTCTGTGCTGCAAATAATACCATCAAGAAAGTAAAAGGACAACCCAAAGGAATGGGAGAAAATATCTGCAAATCATGAAGGACTTTTATCCAGAATATATAAAGAACTCTTACAACTCAATTAATAAAATGACAAATGGATCTGAATAGACCTCTTTCCAAGGAAGATAAATAAACGGCCAATCAGTGCATAAACAGATGCTTAACATCATTAGCCATTAGACAAATGCAAATCAAAACCATAATGATATAATATAAATACTATGTGTACATATTTGGAAGATTATTTCCTTATGTGAAAGAAAAAGTATGAATACTTTAATGTCTGACAGGGCTACATTATTTGTTGGGGCTCAGTGACTATCAACCACCAATGACTGACAAATCAAGTATAACAAATATGAAACTCAAATTAGAAATAAGATGTTATCTTGGCTGGTGCAGTGGCTCATGCCTGTAATCCCAACACTTTGGGAGGCCGAGGTGGGCAGATTATTTGAGGTGAGGAGTTCAAGCAGCCTGGGCAACATGGTGAAACCCCATCTCTACTAAAAATACAAAAATTAGCCAGTTGTGGTGGCACACACCTATAGTCCCAGCTACTCGGGAGGCTGAGGCAGGAGAAACCCTTGAACCCAGGAGGCGGAGGTTGCAGTGAGCTGAGATCGCACCACTGCACTCCAGCCTGGGCAATAGAGTGAGGCTCCATCTCAAAAAACAAAACACAAACACACACACACAAAGAAATAAGACGTCATCTGTAAAATGGGAATAAAATTTAAAAAAAAAAGAAAAAGAAAAAAGTAAGAGGCCAGTTGTTTCCTATAATCACCAAAAAATATTTTGGGGAAGCAAAAAAGAGTACCCACACCACAACTCCCAGAGACCCTGATTTGACAGTTTGGGATCATTGCTAGAAATGTGGTTTTCAAACTGTATACCAAGCTGCCCTGGGGTACCACAGCAAACTCACAGGTCCTACAGGATACTTTACATATTCAAATGAACCACAGTGATACTTAACATCTGTTGGTCATCATGTGAACCACTACTAGCTCAAGATAGTTCGGTTTCAACATTAGATGTTAGATTTCTTACAATGATCACATCTTTGCAAAGCTGGGTTTTCAACAAAAATGAAGCGCTGCGTGAAAATCAGTGTGGAACAAGAAATGAGGCTGGCAGTGTCCAATCTGATTTCTAAGGTTGGAGGAGTTGTATAATATCCAACAGCATATACATCCCATTAGTAATTAATTATGATTGGCTGGGTATGGTGGCTCTAACTGTCTTTTGAATTTCAGTGCCAACACAAAGCTCTGAAACTTCAATAGCCAAACATATGCCTTAGATATCTGGGCAAACTTATCCCTGATCTAGGCACCAAATGGGACAGCAGGCTCATAGCTGAGTCCTAGGGATGGCCACATACCAATATTAACCAACAGAAGACCAGACCCTGATATGGTGTTATCCTAGGATAACACCACCTACTCTCAAACGACCTACGAGAGTTAAAACTCATGGAAATACTAGGATGTGAATAACAGTGTCTTCAGCTTTTGTCTTCCTATGAATACAGAATTATGTCAATTAGTTTAATCAATTCAAAAAGAGAAGACTGCCTCTAAATAAGTCAAATGTTCCCAAAATCATTCTACTACTACATACCCCCACACCAATTCTTTCTTTTCTTTTCTTTTTTTTTTCTTTGAGATGGAGTCTTGCTCTGTCGCCCAGACTGGAGTGCAGTGGCACAAACTCAGCTCACGGCAACCTCCGCCTCCCAGGTTCAAGCAATTCTACTGCCTTAGCCTCCGGAGTAGCTGGGACTACAGGCATGTGCCACCACGCCCAGCTAATTTTTTTGTATTTTTAGTAGAGACAAGGTTTCACTACGTTAGCCAGGCTGGTCTCAAACTCCTGACCTCAGGTGATCCACTCACCTTGGCCTCCCACCCGCCTCGGCCACTTCAGTTTCTTAAGCTCTTAAATGAAGATACTCCTGTTTCTCAGATTATTATGAGGGTTAAATAATTATGTAAATGTTTAGTAAATAATGGCTACAGCAATAGTCGTATTTGAATTAGGTGATGTTTTTCTGATGGGTTGAGTCCTTAAACAGAAAACATAAAATGATAGTGTCTGCATATACACAGAATAATGGTTACTTCTGACTGGTGGGATTATGGGTAACTTTTCTAACTATACATTTCTATAATATTTTCCTTCTTGGCAATATGTTCTTGTAATCAGGAAAAAAAATTTTTTTATACAAATCTCTGGGAGATCAAGGAGATCTGGAATTATTACCAGATTCCAACCCAGATATAATTAGGAGAGAGATCATGTTGGCTGGCTGCCTCACTAATTTTTCAAAAAGGCTCCACCTCTTCAAACAGGAATATTAATCAGTTAAGTCAATTGAAAGCTACTTTAGCCAAAGCTTTAATCATTACAAGTGAAAAACATATGAGAATTAAATATGAGATTTTCTGAATTCTCCTCTGATGTTCGGTATACTGGGAATCAGGAAACCGACCCCACTCCTAGAACTGGAGTGCCTCAGGAGAGTCCTCTAACAGCTAAACAATTTCAATTGGGAAAATAAAGCCACTGAAGCTGTCCCATCTAACCACTAAGAAAAATTAAATGGTGCTTTTTCTTGACTGCCAAGACCAGTTCCTGCTGGCCCCACCCCAGTTAAGTCCTATATATGTAACTGTGCAGACTGTCAGCAAGTCCTATTGTTACTTCCAGAAGTCATCATAAGCTCTTTCAGACACTTCTTCCTAGCAAGCCCCTGCAGATGTCACAGCAAATGAAAACACCTAAAAGAGCCTTCATGAAGCTGTCCAACTGATGATTAAAACTCAGTGTGATAGCATGTAACTGTTCTTTTATATACATTGTTGTTACACTAATCTCATCATGATGTATTCTGCCCATCTGCTTCCCCACAGATCCTCTCTCAAGGTCAAGAGTATTCATGCAGTGAGGTAAAGTAAAGCATTTCTGAGAAGCATCTTCTCTTCTGGTGGGAGTTTTGCCAGGTCATCCCAACTTGGTAATGCAAGGACTAGATGTAGCAGTCAGCAGTTGTGAAATAGGAAGAGCTGAGAAGGACTTTTTAAACTACAAATAATCACACATTTTCTGAGAGGTATAAGATAAACTATTCTGATTATTAATGTAAATAATAATCACCACCAAGCCTGTACTGGGAATTTCATATACAGTATTTAATTTTCATAATCCTTTTTTTTTTTTTTTTGATACTGAGTCTCGCTCTGTCGCCCAGGCTGGAGTGCTGTGGCCGGATCTCAGCTCACTGCAAGCTCCGTCTCCCGGGTTCACGCCATTCTCCTGCCTCAGCCTCCCGAGTAGCTGGGACCACAGGCGCCCGCCACCTCGCCCGGCTAGTTTTTTGTACTTTTTTTTAGTAGAGACGGGGTTTCACCGTGTTAGCCAGGATGGTCTCGATCTCCTGACCTTGTGATCCGCCCGTCTGGGCCTCCCAAAGTGCTGGGATTACAGGCTTGAGCCACCGCGCCCGGCCAATTTTCATAATCCTTAACAGGCATTAAGTAGAAAAAGAAATGATAATGTAGCAGACTGAAAAGTAACTACAAGATCTCTCAAGAGAGCTCAAAGATAACAAGAACTCTTGTTGCATTTTCTACAGCCCAAGGCCTACCTTCAGGCTTGTCAAAATTACGAGAGACTAAAGTATAGAAGATAGATGGCAAAACCTCTTCTAATAACCAAAATCCAAGACCCAGA